GAATACGTCTATTACCTACAAATAGTACAAGGAATACCGCTTGCACCTCATCCACAGCCTCCCCATATTGTATGTACTACATACTCAGGCTTACCGTATAGGTGGAACACCACATGCATATCAACAAGGCACTAGCATATAACAGCTCAATAGCATTTCTAAAACATCAAAAGCATGTAACACAGCATGCATATAACCAAACCCCCATGGGACATGGTGGAACCACAACATGGCTAAACTGAGGACACAAAAGCTTACCTTGCAAGCTAATTATCCAAGCAGAGAGTCCACACTAGCTCAAAGCCCGCAAATAGTACAATCACAATCTGTTTATACAGTAAGTAATCATCAATAACCATCTATCAAGGTTACATTAAGTGATTAAGGCTTTCCATCTCATTTTAAGTCATTTTATGCATTTTCTACAGGAGGTATTCGAATACTCCTCGTTGAGTATTCGAATACTCCCCCGTCTCCAGAAAGTATTCGATTACTTTCATTAAAGTATTCGAATACTATCAAGTATCCGAATACTTTCCCCCAGTATCCGAATACTCAAGTATCCGAATACTAAACTTTACTGTATTCGAATACTTTCCAATATTCGAATACTTCTTCAAAGGTATCCGAATACTTTTCTTCCCAGAAAAGTATCCCAATACTCCTGCAAGGAGTATTCGACTACCATGAACAAGTATTTGAATACTACGCGATAAGTATTCGAATACTTCTTCAACAGAATGCAGAAATTCAAGCCAACTTCTGCATAACCCCAAATTTAAAGGTCCAAAAGCGATTGGGACTCCAATGACTCCCTAAACAGATAGCCACCAACATGTTATGAACTCAAAAACACATTCTTTTACTCAAATGGTTAAAGTTCCTTTTTTAATTGATTAAACAAGCTATAGGCCTCAAAATGACACTTAGGTGATCATGGCTCACCTCAAGAACTCTAAACTCCGAAAATGAAGCAGAAAGGAAGCCTCCAATGCAACCCCAAGGTTTTGACTTCACAAGGCTACGAAAATACACTTCAAGCTTGTCCCTTTGTGCCAAAAGGTGACTTCTTGAAGCTCAAGAAGCCAAGAACAAGGTCATACAACCCAAACTCAGAACAAACAGCCCCAAAAACGTCCCACAATCAGCAAGCATAAACTCAAAATGCTCCACCACCCCCTCACAATGCTCACAGCTTAGTGTTTACAACTCTCAAGAAGAAGACTCACAACAAAGATGGCTTCTTGGTCCCTTTTCATGAGCAAAGGCCAAGACTTTCAAGAGAAGAAGAGAAGGCTGGAGAGAAATCAACAAAAAGACTCACGTAGAGGCTGAGTATGGCCTAGGGTTTTGTGCCCTTAGGCTTATATAGGTTCACTTAACACTAACCACAATGTATTAGCATTAATAACTACGCTTAGCATTTTAATCCCAAACTTCGGATTCTTAACCTACTCAATTTTACAAGAATTATCAAATTTTTATTTTATTTTTCGGAGCACCTTTCCGGTACGCGCTTTCCATAGCCGGTATCAGTTTCTGGCACCAGTTCTCATTATTTTAACTTGAAACTCGTTTTACAAGTCCTAAATATTATTCTAGGAATTATCATGCACTTATTATAATTTTCCGGGATACTTTTTCGGTATGCATTTATACCGACTAGCAGAACTGGTATCTACATTTTTTCTCCGAAAAGCGACTTTCAGCATTCTTAAACACTTATCATACTTATTTAAGCCTCAATATAATTATAAGGGTCAATTATAGAATTATTTCTCAATTCTCATATATAATTATTTAATTTCCTTAATTAACGGTGCGGATTCTTACACGTGTAGAAGACGCACTATAAATGGAGTAATTAGCACCATGTAGGGGACTTCTTCATCTTCTTTCTGGTCTTTTTCTTTGTCTTCTTTCCTACAATTTTATTTTGCTAAGTAGTTTTTAATTTCGTCTCTAAGCACTGTAGCAGGGCTATTTGGTGGTTATAGCTTCTGCATAATAATTTTCAGTTGAGTTGTAATTTCTTTATAATTTTTGTTTGTTGTTTTTGTAGCTCAACCCTAATGGGTATGAGCTAAACCTTTGAAGGTTGGGTCTAGGTTACCCGAACCTCAATGTTCAATGCTTGCCAGTTGTTGAAGTTTAATCTTAATTTTTCAGTTGTTTAATGCCAAGCTTGTTGTTTAAACATTTTGCATTAGGCCTGATGTTAGATGTTTAATTAGGAAGAAGTCATCGAGAGGTGACTGATTCTGAAAATGCATTAAACACATGGACTTGAATGGGAGATTATTCAAGAGGATTCACTTCAGGGATGAAGGAACCTACCATGTAACTATGGACTTGTGATTTAAGAGTCCTTACTGCATTTAGCACAGAGATGTGTGAATGAAGGTTGTGGATAAAATAATTTTAAGAGAATAAAATCAACAAGAGTGATCCGTTAACTGGGAATTAAAATTAAGCAATTTGTAATTAGCATTTCTTTCAATGCTGTTTCAATGTTGTGGGCAGGGAAAACTGAAAACTCAACCTGATTTTTTAAATATTTTTACCCAATCTTATCTCTTGTTATTTCTGATTTTAATTCTCTAAGAATTTTCCTTATTGCAGTTTAAAAAAAAAAAAGAGAAAAAGAAAATATATAAGCATTTTATTTCAGAAAACCAAAAAGCATATTAAATTGAATTTATCATTCTATTTTTCTTAAACACAAATCCAAAGTTCAGAAAAAGTAACTTAGAAAAATCCAAAAAAAAATTATAGTTTACAATTATGTTATTTTTCTTTTTTTTCCTCTTGTGGATCATTTTTATTTTTATTCAAGTTAGCATTTACAATTTCTGCAATTAATTCACATTGCCAAGATCTTTGTGAGAACGATAATTGAGACTCAAAAGCCCTATATTACTTGTGGTTGCGTATATCTGCGCATTTCTTGCATAAACGTTAACAAGACCAACAGTGTGTATAGGAGATAAAATTATCTCCTACAATATAAGAAATATTAATACCTGTAAATATACTATTTTGTTTGATTCAGACCAATCTACCTACTTTGAAAAAAAATTTAATTAGAATTAATCCAAAAAAACGTCTAATGGAATTATACTTGTTTCTATTTTAAAACAACGCAAAATCATTTCCATGTTGCTACAAGGGAAATATTTTTGCAGCAACTAATTATAATTATATATTAAGGGTAATACATAATTGTAATTTTAAAAACTATTTTTTTAAAAGAAATTATCGACTGACGTGACGGAGAGAAAAAAATAACTTTAATATTGCAACTATATATTACCCCTAATATATAGTTGTAATTGATTACATAAAAGAAATTTTTTTGCAGAAGTCGGGACCCTTAAAACAATTATCCATTTGAAAATTTTAACTTGATTCAAATCGATTGTCACTTAAGAAAGCTTAAAATACATTATTGTTTAATTTTAATTTTTTTTATTATTTTAACTATGTGAAATAAAAACATTTAATGGAATGAAAAAAAATAATTTTAACAATTCTTTTTTCCTTAATTTTTTGTTGTTGATATATTTAGAGTTGTCCTAAAGCTTAAAACTTTGATATATCTTACCGATTTTTCAATTGCCTCAACAATCTTTAGCAAACTTATTATTTGTAAATCAGAAGTTGTACAATTTGTACAATCAAACTTGCATCCGTTCATTTTTCTTGCATAGATATATTTTTGAAAATTTTCATTTTCATTTTCAAAAAATCACCCACTTTCTCTCTCCCATGATTTTCATTTTCTGTGTCTATCTCTCTTCTAAAATAGCATAAGTTATGTCATTTAAAATGACAAATACCAAACACACACACAGATATATATATATATATATATATATATATATATATATATATATATATATATATATAGATTTTTAATATAATAATATAGCATTAAGTATAAAAATAGAAAAGAGTGTAGATTTAACCACGTCAGAAAAACTAGTTGAATCTCCGGCTTTTCTTGAATACGGGTATGATTCATATCTGTCAAGGAAAAGTTTAACGTGCCACCGTTGCACCAACACAACTAGTAAGTGACATTTTCTAAACCGTTGAATTCTGGCAAAAAAGAAAAAATTTCCATCAAATATTTCAGATTCAATTCAATGGTTCAAAAACTACCACACTGGTGATGATGTTGCACTCTTCTTCAATCAATGAGAGGATGGATGATTCAAGAAACGTGTAGATTTTTTCCCAACAATTAGTTATCTTCATTTTTTTTTTTTTTTTTTTTTGGTTTTGGATTTATCATAGGATCAACGATTGAAGGAAGGGAAAAAAAGATTAAATTGTAGATCAATCACACGTGAAAGCCTGTGACATGTTTCAAGAATTTACAAGACATGGTATTTGACTTTGGATATCAACAAAGGTGGATTCTACAATGACATATAGAAGTTGTGTGAGATTCATGGGCAAACAATGAATCCAAGGTTTTCAGAGATTTTTTTCTTCAGTTGGAAGTATATATGGCAATCTTGGTAGTGGAAATTAGGACACCATGTCAAGATGGATTTCATGGTGTATACCAGTTACATAAGATATAGTTTCTGATCATGTTTAATGTATTGGGGAAACACACACAGGGAAAGAGAGACACAAGGCAATTAGTTAGAAAACATAGAAAGAAAGAGTGAGGCAAAAAGCAAGAAAATATAAGGGAGATAGTTGCAGAGGAGGGGTTAGCATAGGTTGGATCTTTTTCTTGTGAAAGCCCCGTGATTGTGAAGCCTCTTCTGCAACAACACTTTCTCGGGGTGACTCCTATTTCACATATATATATATATAATCTTGATTACAAGAATATATAGCAAGTTTCTTTCAGTTAGAGATAGAGAACTCAGCAAGATAATTTACTCATTGCACCAATTGGTGATTAGCCAGCATTTCTGCTTGAAGATTGGATATTCCAAGTTATTTGACTCCACATTGGTTGGTAAATATACATTTTGGTTATGGAATCTCAGGTTTGAGTAGCTGATCCTCAGATTCATTTGGGTGCATAATATTTCGTTAACAATGGTAAATGTCTACAGTCTCCAATATCCCATTTCTTTTTATGCCCTTTATCTAAATGGGTTTTATATACTTTCTGTCAAATGGTTTAAATAAACAGTTCCTCTTCAGTTTTTATTTTCTTTAGTGTCTGCAACCCTTAGAAGGTTTTGGTTAATTGGTTTTAGTACTGGAAATTGGAGGTGTTTGAAAACCTTTGATGGCAAGTGCTTTATTTTGATGTTGCACAATTTGGGACTGCCACAAATCTTAAACAATATGGCCAGATTATATTCCATTCTAGTATGATTGAAGTAGACATGGATGCAAAATTGGATATTTTTGAAATAATTATAAAATGTGATATAGCACATTCAATTTGAAATATCATTAAACTTGTTCTGCCCAATTTAAGCAGACACAATATATGCAGAAGTGTATCTGTTTGACAATGCTTCAGTAAAGTTTGGAGGGGCTTAACTAAGTAGCATTTAAATGAAATTATAGTATTGGTTTCTCTTATGATTGACATTTACTTGTAATGTGGGAGCAAAGTCTAACAAGTTAGTGTGCATGTAAGCAATTGATTCTTAATATGCCAACATAACTTCAGATGAGGTTCTTCTCTGATGAAAGAGGCACTGATTATTTTTGAATACACAGGCTACTCAACTCAATTTTGTTGTTGGATCTCATATCTGGATTGAGGACCCTGATGAAGCTTGGATAGATGGAGAAATCCTGGAATCTAATGATGAAGGGATCACAGTAAGCAATGCATCAGGGACGAGGGTGAGTCTTCTGGAATCTATTGTAGATTCATGCTTCATAATATATATATTCAAGTATACTCAAATGGCACACATAAGATTTTCTTCTATTGGTGTGGTTCATTCCTTTGTTTTTTTCTATTGATCTTTGTATAGTGTTATGTTTAATGCTCATGTGGAATGAGAGGTTCTAAGTTATACCAGCACTTTTAGATTACTCATGAATGATTTCTTTCACTGTAATTTGAAGAACTATTAGTTTGCACCAAAAATCTGGCCCTTCCTACCCAAAAACCTCTTAATTAGCAAGCATTCAGTGTAAGTTGTAACTTACAGGGAAAACTTTTAAAAGATACAGAAAAAGTTTGTCATGCGGATTATTTTGGAAAGGAGAAAATGAAAAACCCCACAGAAGAAGTGATATCTCTAATGGTCCTTAATTTGAGTTGCTATCTCAGATTACTTATGCCTTTTTTTCTGGTTGTGCGTGTCCTCTTATATATACCACTCATGAATATGATTTTTCTAAATAATCACTCTTAATTGATCCACAAAGACTGAAATTCTTTAGTTTTTCTTTGAAGGCCTTAATATCTGAGTGTAGTACACATATAGTGATACTTTGTGTAATAATATTGGCTAGATAGAGTTCGAAGATCGCTAGATGCTGATCTAAAAGTCATAGAGCCTTTATTTATATCTCCCATAACCTCTCCAGTGGCATGTGAGAAAGTGCTGCAAACTATAAGGGAACTACATCACCAAAATGCAAGAGTTCACTCAACAAAATATCTAGCATTAGAAGAATGTATAAAAATATTAGTGTCATAGTAAGAGTACACACAAGCATAAGTAGAGAGAATTTTTTATGGAATTCAAAACCTGCAACAATCATTTGTAATCACATTATGCTTTGCAGTAAAAATGAACTACTTCACCTTAGAGGGGCCTCTGAATTTTAAGGAGAATAGCAAGAAGAAAGTTAACTTTGTTGAGAAATTAAGTGAGATTTGGAAATATGACGTATAGAAATACAATCTATACGTCATATTTGAACTAAAAGTGAGTCCTATTATTCACTAATGAAAAAGAGTCCTAAAACAACTAAAAGTGATTCAAGTTCCTGAGATGCAAATTTCTTTTACTAGTTTGTGCAAAGAGTATTTGAACTCCTTTCATTAAAAACAAAGTTAAAATATATTTTAGATCCACCCAAGTGATTTTCATTTTTAATTTAGTCTTCATAAAAAAAAGTAATTAATTTGGTCTCTTACAGGTACAATCATTTTTAATTTGGTACTGACTATCAAGTTACCATTATAAAACTCTATTAGAATTATATATATAGATTACCTTTTCTCATGTTACACGAGGTAACATCTCTCATGTCATAGACACAACAAGTGATGTGGCCCATCACTTGTTAAAAAAGAAGAAGGATAGCACAGATTTCAATATCTCACAACACGAGAATGTTATCTCCTATTGAATGAGAAAATGATTTCCATTATATAATATAGGGAAATGCAACTATTATGTTGCATGAAAGATAAAACTTCATCCTACTAACCCATTGAAAGACGTGTCACACTTTTTGTTTTTTTTTTTCTTAAAATAGTGGGCTCCACGTAAAAGTTGTATCCGCAGGAAATCCAAAATCAATCCTATAACAGGACGAACATAAACCCCTTATATATAACACACTAAGGGCATGTTTGGTACACAGCATAGTATGAAGCCTGATTGTATAGGACCTGATTAAATTTTAATATTATCCAGTGTTTGACATGATATTGTATAAGATAATATATTGTATAAGATAATATCATCGAATGTTTGATAATGCATTGTCTAATACTAGATAGGATAAAAATAAATATTTTTGACAAAAATACCTTTTAATAACGAATTTATATAATTCTTCCAAACATATTAAGATGATATTAATTTTTATAGAAATCTGTTAATCAGTGTGTCCAAAAAATAGATTAATTTTTATAAAAATAAAAATATCCAATATTTTAAAAATTTATACATTAAAAATTTATTTTTTATTTTAATATATTAATATTAAAATAATATATTAATTCTTAAGAATTGCATTGGTTCATCAACCCCTTATCAGGCCTAATTCTACCCTCCTAGGCTTGATTAAGTTATACATCATTTTGATGTATAAAGAGATCCTACTGTATAAGCTTATACTATACAATGTTCACACCAAACAACTAAAATTATCATAACCTACAGTATAAGCTTATACTATTAGGCCTTATACATCTTATCAAACAGGCCCAAAAAATGAATGCATATATAGGAATTAGAATTACTATATTTCTCTAAAAAAAACACTATATTTATTGTTCCTACATGTGACACTGGTTTTCAATTACAGTAACTTCATAATAATCTCAGTGCTATAACAACAATAAACAGCAGCCGTGATACTGAAAATGATTATATATGCAAGATTAAAAAAATAAAATCTTAAACTTAATTCCTCTTCAATGGTGATCTTTTTCTGTATCACTCTGATTAAAATGATCAAGTTTGACTAAAATGATCTAGTTTGATAATGTAAGTATTTTGCAAAAATTGTTATACATCATGATATCATGTTAGAAAAGTATAGTAGTTAAAATACATCTTAGTAAGAGTGATATAGTATAAATACTCTGATTGATTATTAAAATAGTATAAGTACTAAACAAAAAGCAATTCAAAAAATGACATAATTCTCTAAATTTTTATTACCTATTAAATCAGATTATAAAATCTTGTCCACATTACAAAAAGAGAAAATTACCCATAATCTCCATTCCTTCATTATTATAATTCTATTGAGCTCAAAACAATAAACAACACAAAAAGGTATTAAAATAAATTTTACATTATTATCATAGTTTGTCCTAATAACACAAAAAATCATACTGTAATTCTATATGTCTTATGCTATTCTCTTTATAGGGTCCCTCAACATGCATCAATCCAACTTTCTCAAAATTTAAGTTATTCATGTGAGGATAATATGTTACGACGAACTCTCTTTAAAGCTTAATATGCTGGCTAATGAATGGCTTCCCAAGCATTTTGGTCTTTTCTTTCTGTCATTCCTTCTAGGCACCAGGTCTTAGAACTTTTTTGTAATAAGAAATAAGCTCCACAGTCTTTGAATCATTGGTAACTTCTTTTGCAAGGAATTGTGTAGTTTAGCTAAAACCTTGTCCACAAATTTCTATATAACCTTGTCTTATTATCACTTTATTAGAGTTAAGTTACTTCACTTACATTATGAGATTATGACAGAGTTAAAAGTTCTCATAACAAAAAAAGAAGGAAAAATATTATGTACATTTTTAAGAACCTAAATTATCTCTTATAAATATATATTTCGGGGAGTATATAATTATAATATTAAAATTATATTTTTTTCACTTTTTACATCGGCCGACAGTTTCTAAAGAAAAAATAAAATAAAATAAAAAAGAATCCGTTTACAAACTTTTTTTACAAATTACACTAAGTATGACCGGTCATATAATTTTTATTGAAGTATGACCGGTCATACTTAGTGTAATTTGTAAAAATTTGTAAATATAACATTTTCCAAATAAAATATTAATATTATAACTATATATTTCAAAAAATACTGGGGTAAAATAACCTAACTTTTTCCCAAAAAAAAAAAAAAAACTCTTAATGTTTTAATATATAAATCTCTATTGCAGGTTGTGAGCAAATCAGTTAATATCTATCCCAAAGATCCTGAATTCCCACCAAACGGTGTGGAAGATATGACAAGACTGGCATATTTGCATGAACCAGGGGTACTTCAAAATTTGCAACTTCGATATGACTTAAATGAAATATATGTAAGATCTCACCTCTAGTTTCTGCATTGATCACTCTATCTTTGTTTTGCTGTCACAGTCATTGCAATGAAGCTTTAACCTTTTTTCTAATGGTGTTGTTTGCAGACATACACAGGAAATATTTTGATAGCAGTGAACCCTTTTCAAAGGTTACCTCATTTGTATGCCAGTGAAACAATGGCACAGTATAAAGGTGCAGCTTTCGGTGAGCAGAGCCCCCATCCTTTTGCAATTGCAGCTCATGCATATAGGTATCTTGTTGCTGCTCTCAGTTTTTTGCACCTTGGTCATGGCTTTAAATATTCTTGGATTTAAGATGATAATAGTAGGTCCAGATAATTTAAGCACTGCATGCTATAATGTTAGAGAGATACTCTCAAACTGTGCCTTCCTTGCCTTTTTAGAGAACATTGCATATTTTTGCACATTAATAATTCATTCTTAATCACTGGAAGATTAATCATTTTTTCCTTCTTGCATAAATGTTTTGAGCATTACTCTTAATTTTCTTTATAACCCATCTGCAATCTAAGAGGGTGAGTCTGGAGCAGTGATAAAAGTGCATTGCTCCTATGTGGCTAACTGATTGAATGGTCATGAGTTCGAATCCAAAAATAGCTTCTTTACAAGAATGCTATGCTCATCCCTACCCTCGCAAGTCAGGGTTTCATGAGGAGTGCTTTTTAATAACTTTGGGTTTTGCATCCCCTACAACTTACAACTTTGGCTAGTATCCATAATCCATTGCAAATGAGACAAAATCATGAAAAATATGTGTTTGAATTCACCTAAAAAGATGAGTACATGCAGGAAGATGATAAACGAAGAAACAAGTCAATCTATTTTGGTTAGTGGGGAGAGTGGAGCAGGTAAAACAGAAAGTACAAAGATGCTTATGCATTATCTTGCTTATATGGGAGGGAGAGTAGCAACTGAGGGACGACGGTCAGTGGAGCAACAAGTTCTGGAGGTAAGAAAACTAAATATTTGGAGAGTGTGGTTCAAGCATTGTGCTCAAGGAATTTAATTTTGGATGTTATTATTCATTCTGCTTGTTATTCACACTTCTGCAGTCCAATCCAGTTTTAGAAGCATTTGGCAATGCAAAGACTGTTAGGAACAACAATTCTAGGTATTAACTTTGTTGTCGAGTAAGGTCATATTTTTTCCCCATTTTTTCAATTTCTACTGCGCCCTTCTTTCTCTTAATTGGTTTAAAGTCTGTCCTAAGCTTACATAGTATAATTTCAGTCGTTTTGGTAAGTTTGTGGAGATTCAGTTTGATCAAAAGGGGAGAATTTCAGGAGCTGCCATCAGAACTTATTTGCTGGAACGATCCCGTGTCTGTCAAGTTTCTGATCCTGAGAGAAATTACCATTGCTTTTATATGCTTTGTGCTGCACCAAAAGAGGTACATAATTCTTCCTTTTGTACAAGAAATTCATGCCTATAGAAATTAAGGTCTGCTTCCATGGTACATAATTCTTCCTTCAAAAGTTAGGCTTTGAGTTTAGCTTGATGATTGGTATTCTTTAACTTACCTGAGATAATGAGCCTTTGATGTGAATTTATTTTGATTTGAGCTTTTCTGTGTCTAGGATACAAATAAGTACAAATTGGGAGATCCAAGAACATTTCGTTACCTCAATCAATCGAATTGCATTGAGCTGGATGGGCTGGATGATTCTAAGGAGTACCTTGCAACTAGGAGAGCCATGGATGTAGTTGGGATCAGCTCTGATGAGCAGGTACCCCTCAGTCAAATCTCTATGGGAGAGTTTTCATTTTCTTTTTATTGTTGTCATTACAGGAATTTCTCATCCCCCTTCTCAGGATGCTATATTTCGAGTAGTAGCTGCAGTACTTCATTTGGGAAACATTGAATTTGTTAAGGGAGTGGATGAAGAGATGGATTCCTCTCAACCAAAGGATGAAGAATCCCATTTCCACCTAAAAACTGCAGCTGAACTTTTTATGTAAGTGAAATTGTTCTTTATTTGTTGTATTTAGGGAAGATTAGTGTAAAAAACCAATTCAACCCAAAAGTTTAAGCTATTGGGTGAGGTTACATTAATAGTTTTATATTTCTCTAACACATCCCCTCACACAAGAGCCCATTGAGCTTAAAGGGTGCACAATGCATAGGCCCACCTACTTGTACTAAGAAAATCCACAAAAAGAAAGTGGGAGACGGTGAGGATCGAACCCGTGACACTGAGGCTCTGATACCATGTAAAGAATTAATCCAACCCAAAAGCTTAAGCTATTGGGTGAGGTTACATTAATGGTTTTTGTTAGAAATATATAAAACCATTAAAGAGACCTTCACTTAACAGCTTAAGCTTTTAGGTTGAATTGGTTCTTTGCAGTTTTATATTTCTCTAACAATTAGTATTCAAATGTATAACATCAATAGTTATATATCTATTTGTTTATTTATGGTAGGTGTGATGAGAAGTCCCTTGAAGACTCTTTCTGCAAACGTGTTATGGTGACTCGTGGTGAGGCCATAACAAAATGGCTTGATCCAGTTTCTGCAGCTCTCAGTAGAGATGCATTTGCTAAAATAGTTTATTCAAGGCTTTTTGACTGGTATCACTTCTGTGAAGTTTATGAAAATATAATTAAGTTTATATATCCTTATAAAAGCTTATTTTAATATGCATGAGTTTCTGTAATTCAATTGATGCAAACATATTGATCCAGGATTGTGAACAAGATTAACAACTCTATTGGGCAAGATCCAGATTCAAAGAGCTTAATTGGGGTTCTAGATATTTATGGATTTGAGAGTTTCAAGACAAACAGGTGCTTAACCAGTACCCTATTTTGCATGGTTTTTATATTAAATTCCAAGCAGAGAATTTCCTGAAAAGATTTTGATGGATGAGGTGGGATTATTAACTAAGAAACTCATATGTTTTGTACCAGTGAATTATGATGCAAAAGTTGATAAAGCTGTTGATTTTTTTTATGCATTAGTCGATATTATCCAAGAACTTTGATGCCATCAGAGCATTATTTTGATGTTCTACTATAGAGTTAGTCTCTACAAGGGGAAAATGTTCTTGGCTATGACTCTGTTCTTTGGCTTTTTGTTTTGCTTGATGGACTCACACAGGATAAATGGTATGAAAATAAAGATACTAAAGAAATAATGGACACAAGATTTTAATGTAGTTTGGCTGTCACTAATGCAGAACTATTATGTTTGTGATATTATGCTTTTAATTGATGAGTGCCATGTAATTTCCTGGATTGATTTTTCTTATGAGCTTTAGTAACTTTTTGAACTCTCCCATGTAACATTTAATTGGTCCCGTGCAGCTTTGAGCAATTTTGTATCAATTTGACAAATGAGAAATTACAGCAACATTTCAACCAGGTTTTTATTTTTTTTATTTTCTCCGTTTTCTTGGAATTCATTCTCTGATAAACTATTCTTAGTTCTATTGACTCAATAAACATTTCATTATTTCATTATCCAGCATGTCTTCAAAATGGAGCAAGAGGAATATCAAAAGGAAGAGATTGATTGGAGTTACATAGAGTTCGTTGATAATCAAGATGTTCTTGATCTCATAGAAAAGGTGTAATTCAACCCTTCCATCCATTTTTGTCATTCTAGGAAAGATCTACCACTTCACCATCTCATTTTTGAACTAAATGTGTTTCTATTTTTTTTTCAACGGTTTCACCATTGATTTAGGATAATTATCATTTAGTAATAATACATTTATCATATTACATTTTTGTGATGCATTGTTTTTTCTTTCAAAATTCCCATTCAAATAAATACTCTTTACATTAAGTTATGGTAAAGAATCAATTCAACCCAAAAGCTTAAGCTGGTGGGTAAGGCTATATTAATAATGGTTTTATAAATCTCTAACACACTCTCACATGAGAGCCTATTAGGCTTAAATGGTGGATGATGCATCAGACTCAGCCTACTTGTACTAAGAAATTCCTTAATACTCAATTAATTATTAATTAAATGGGAGCCGATGAGGATCGAACTCGTAACACTAAGGCTCTAATACCATGTAAAGAACCAATTCAATCTAAAAGCTTAAGTTGGTGGGTGAGATTACATTAATGGTTTTATATATCTCTAACAATTATTCTGTAATAAATAGTGATTATTCTTGTTAATATTACAACTACCTAGATTTTCTGATGAAGTAATGACATTTGTTTAGTATTTATTCATTTATTTTTAATCTTACAAGCTATTTGAAAAGGATGTGGATTTCTATCTTGTGCACATAACTGCGTATATGATTTTAACTCTACAGAATTCTACTTGTTCGTTTGTATTTTATCTTTCTAATTTATGTATGTGCATAACTTCAGAAACCTGGCGGCGTTATTGCTCTTCTGGATGAGGCTTGGTATGTATTAAATGATTGAATGGTTCAAATACTTGTTTTATGGCCATTCTTTTAGATATGAAATGGCTAATCTTTGTCATTTTGCATTATATATATATATATACAGACACCTGCATATGCATATACATTGAGATTGTGAGATTGTCCTGCTTATTCTTTGTAGTATGTTTCCAAGATCAACGCATGAAACATTTGCTGAAAAGCTATATCAAACATTTAAAGATAATAAACGCTTCAGCAAGCCAAAGTTGTCTCGTACAGACTTCACCATTAACCACTATGCTGGTGATGTAAGTGAAATACATTTTGGCCTTCACATTTATGCACTATCAACAATCAACAATGAATGAAAAAAGGTTAATATATGATGATTTTTCAATTTCAGGTCACATATCAAACTGATCATTTCCTTGACAAAAATAAAGACTATGTTGTTCCAGAGCATGCTGCTTTACTCAGTGCTTCGAAGTGCTCCTTTGTTTCAGGGTTGTTCCCACCTTTACCCGAGGAAACTACAAAGTCAACGAAGTTCTCTTCTATAGCCACTCAGTTTAAGGTCAGTTTTCTTTTGCCATGTGAATAATTGCTAATCATCTGCCTTGTATTTATCAGTTTTATTCTTAATGTAGCAACAACTGCAAGCTTTGCTTGAAACACTGAGTGCTACTGAGCCACACTACATTCGTTGTGTAAAGCCAAATAATCTTCTTAAGCCAGGGATATTCGAGAACAACAATGTGCTGCAGCAGCTTAGGTGTGGGGTAAGTTCAATGCCATTTTGGCATGTTCTCTAGTATGACACGAGTATTTTTGTTAAATGACTTGAGACTCTATGGATTCCATTTACAGGGAGTAATGGAGGCAATTCGGATAAGTTGTGCTGGATATCCCACTAGAAAGAACTTTGATGAATTTGTTCAGCGTTTTACTATCTTGGAACCTAAGGTTCTGAAAGCATGGTATTTTCATCCCATTCTGTTTTCTGTTTTCCTTTTTCTGGTCATATAAACGAATGTGATGGTGGATATTTGATGCCAATTAATAATAATTATATTCACAGCCCTGATGAGATGACTGCTTGCAAGAGGCTTCTAGATAGAGCGAACCTTAAAGATTATCAGGTGACAATTTATTCCAACTGAAATTTCTATTAATGTCAGTTGTAGCATTTACTTTGCTGGCTTCTTACTTGAACAAAGAACCAATTTGTAAAGAACCAATTGAACCCAAAAGCTTAAGTTGTTGGGTGAGGCTATATTAATGGTTTTATATATCTCAACACGCCCCCTCACACGAGAGGCAACTGGGCTTGAAAGGTGGACAATGCACAAGTCCACCTACCTGTGCGAAGAAAGAAATTCCACTAAAAAGAAAGTGGAGGGCAGTGAGGATCGAACTCGGTACACCGAGGCTCTGATACCATGTTAAGAACCAATTCAACCCAAAAGCTTAAGCTGTTGGGTGAGGCTACATTAATGGTTTTATATATCTCAACAAATAGATTATGCTGCCTTTTTTCTAACACATGTTGTATTAAAACATGGATTAGAATAAAACGTTGTTCAAGATCTTTTTTCCCCTTTTCCACCGGTTTAAGTAACACCAAAAAGGCAGCAAGAAATGTTCCAACTTGCTACAAATAGAGTTTACTGCTATTGCATCCATGGGCTTCTTTGAGTGCTGGATGTTAGGTTCTAGCATAAAAGGAAAGCAAAATACTCGTGCTAAACTTTTGCCATTGCAGATTGGAAAGACCAAAGTGTTTCTGAGAGCAGGTCAAATGGCAGAACTAGATGCGTGTCGTGCTGTGGTCTTAGGAAGATCCGCAAGCATTATTCAGAGAAACGTTCGCACATTTATTTGCCGGAAACACTTCTTGTTATTGCAGTTGTCTGCCATAGAATTACAAAGGGTGGTTAAAGGTATCAATTATGTGAATCCTGTAGGGATGTTTCTTAGTTGTTTACTATGTAATCAATGAAAGATTGAAATTTAATATTGATTTTCTAAATCATTCATTTTTACATATCTTATGAACTTAACGTAGGACAACTTGCACGCCATCAGTATGAATGCATGAGGAGGGAAGATGCTTCTTTGAAAATCCAAAAATACTTCCGCATGTATCTTTCCAGAAATTCTTACAAAACTATTTATGCCACTGCTGTTGATATTCAAACTGGTATGCGAGGGATGGCTGCTAGAAATGACCTTAGATTCAGGAAGCAGACACATGCTGCAGTTATTATTCAGGTAGGATATGACACCATTTTCTTTTTAATTAAAGAGGACTACTATCTAAAGGTTTTCTGCTTAGTTTTTCACCTTTGTTTTCTTTCCAATCATGATTACATACTTTTGACTCTCCCTTGACACCACAAGAAGGGAACTTCGTGCACTGGACCTCCTATTACTTATTGCTTACCTTATTTTAAGATTCACTTTATTTGTTAACTAGATGTCTTAACTGAAATGTGAGAATTCTATTTACCCTTCCTTTCAATGAAGTAAGTTTCATTTTTTGATAAATGAACGAACAAGCTTAAGGTTAATGATTTGAAATGTTGGCCAATTGTTTGTCTCTCTAATAATCCTATATTCATATTATATGATCTTTGGTTAAATTGTTATACATAAAGCATGCTCAAATTAATGTGAGCTTTTATCTATCATAGGGTCACTATAGAGGTCATTCAGCTCGTACTCGTTTCAAAAGCCTAAAGAAAGCAACAATTGCTGTGCAGTGTTCCTGGAGAAGAACACTTGCACGTAGAGAACTTCGAAAGCTTAAAATGGTATTCCCTCCCTACTTTCCTCCTGTTTACTTTTTTAATTCTTCAAATATAAGCAAGCTGCAGGTGTTTTTTTTTTTTTCAGAAGTAACTAACACTGTTTAACATTTTAATATATTTTTCTGAAAGAATTTTGAAGTTTTATTTGTGGTGACTGTTACTGTTATTTGACTTTTTCTTCCCTTTTCAAGTGTTGGAAGATATATTTATATCACTACTACTATACTGCTTCCCTTTTAGATAGAATGATTTTGTTAAATTCAAATTTGTGGTTCTTTTTATTCCATCTCATGCAGTTCACCAGTTAGCACAAACTGATACAAAAATGTGTCTGTTGAAATGGTTTTTCATTGTTGGAAAAAGGTGTAGAATTTTCTCCTCCAAAATGTGAAACCTATAGTGTTATATACTTAATGTGAATTTTATCCTTTCAATCAGCTATGCTAAAACTGTTTTGTATATCAACTTAATTGTTATCATACTTTGAAAAATATCTAAATTATAACTTACTGCAGGCTGCTAAGGAAGCCAAGGCTCTTGAAGCTGCGAAAAATAATCTGGAAAAGCAAGTCGAAGAACTAACTTCATGTCTAGAAACAGAGAAGAGAATGAGGGTAATATATTTATTTCCTGTAAATGAAAATGTAGAAGAAGTATGAAATTAAGTTTCTTTGTGCCTACTATTCCTAATTTGGTTCTTTTACCTCTACAAGTATTGTTTTAATTATATTATTTTGCTGACTTTCTAACTGTTTTGGTTCATTGTGATATTGAGGAAGCCAAGACACAGGAAAATGAAAAATTACAATGTGCTTTGCAAGAGATGGAGCTTCAGTTCCAAGAAACTACGGCAATGCTCATTAAGGAACGAGAGGCTGCCAAGAAAGGAGCTGAGCAAACTCCAAGAACACAGGAGATTTCTGTTAATGCTACTGACAATGAATTGATCAATAAGCTTACTGCAGAAAATGAACAACTTAAGGTGAGTATTACATAAAAATGTTTGAAAAATTTATGCTTCTGGGTGTGTCATAGTATCCAAAATTATTGTTACTTTTAATACTTTACAGGAGCAGGTTAATTCATTGAAAACGAAAAGTATGCAGGAGTTTCCTGTTAATGTTAGTGACAATGAATTGGTCAATAAGCTTGCTGCAGAAAATGAACATCTCAAGGTATAACTTACATAACAATTGTTTGAAATTTATGTTTCTCGGTGTGTCATAATATTATTAATATCCAAAAAATTTGTTACTTATGATGCTTTGCAGGAACAGGTTAATTCATTGGAAAAGAAAATTGATGAAGCAGAGAAGAAATATGAAGAAAGTAGCAGGCTTAGTGAAGAGCGCATGAATCAAATTATAGAGACAGAATCAAGGATGATTGATCTAAAGACAAAAATGCAGAGGTTCTTATAGCAGCTTTTGTTTGTGTAAGATTGCACTAAAATGTATTCTTTGGTGTTTTCCTTGGTTTGATATGTTTCCTATGTTATATGCCAGGCTTGAAGAAAAACTCTCTGATATGGAAACTGAGAATCAAATTTTGCGGCAACAAGGCTTGTTGAGTTCATCATCTAGGAGAATGTCAGGAAAGTTTTCATCTGCTGCAGTTCCGGTAAATACACAACACATTGTTTATTAAGTGAGGTTGTTGGTACTAACGATTTTCTATTCACATTCCCCACTAATTACTTTTAATTGATATTTTTTAAATTATCCTCAATTACACAACTTTTTATAAAAGTCTTCTCCTAAGTAATTATATTCTTAGTTGTCTATTCACATACAATTGAGGACAATTTGTAAAATCTCAATCAAAAGAAGTTAATGAGTAATGTGAATAAATAATTCCGAATCTCAACAGTCTCATCCTTGTTTACCCTTGTTGGAAATTATATTAATGTATTTTTCTCCTCTTGCTGCTACAGCCTTTGGAAAATGGTCATCAGGTAATAAAGGATTTTTAGATTTGAAAGCATTTTTGTCTTCCTTGTGATTTATATATAATCTTTGTATTTATCAAAAAAAAAAAATCATTCCTCGTTAAACCCTGAGGGTGGGGTGAAGGAAACTCTTGTATCTACCATTGTATTATTGCAAAAATATTGTTTATTGGATTCAAACATGTGATAAATTTCAGTCACAAAGGAACAGCTTTACAGGCTTTGTATTTGTCAAGAAAGAAATTTTCTACCCATCCTATTCTCATGGTTTTGAAGAAAAAGTCTATTTTCTGTAGGCACCAGCAAAAACATTCGGTTCAGAGGTTATCAGGAGATCTCACATGGAGAAGCACCAAGTATACTCTTGCTGAACAATTGTTGCTTTTTTTAATATATTTAATCCACCTTTATATATACTTTCACAGCATTTAGTCAGATTATCTTTTTGTTTGCTTTCTTTGGTTGTAGGAAAGTGTAGATGCTCTTTTCAAATGTGTGACAAAAGATCTTGGGTTCTCCGAAGGAAAACCTGTTGCAGCATTTACCCTTTATAATTGTCTGCTACATTGGAAATCTTTTGAAGCAGAAAAGACAAGTATATTTGATCGTCTTATTCAGCTGATTGGTTCTGCAATAGAGGTAACTTGCTGTTTACTCAAATCATTTTTGGCCTTTAGTCTGTTAGAGGTCAAGTATGTTAGATTTAGGATTTGTTTCAAAACTTAATTCAGCTATGAAAATGAAGATTTTTAGTACTGGAAGTTATTTGTTGTTGCTTATTTATTTTATTTTTTTGGTACATTTGTTGTTGCTTATTTAATCCCTACCAAAAGTAGATGTTAGTAAAAAAATTGAGAACATTCAGCAAAAAGGTGGTTACTTAACGCATCTTGCAGCAACATTTTTATTTTGTAACTTATTTTTCATGTCTCAAAATTCCAGTAGTGAATCTTTAATGCCAATCTTTTTAGTTTTACTTTAAACACCTTTAGTCTTTTAGTAAGTCGTTGAGAAGGATAAACTCAGTGTAATATAAATATAATTTTGTTTCTAGCATCTTTTCTTCTACTTGATTGATTGGCAGCTTCACTGTTTCTTACTCTCAAGTGTTTTTAAATCATCAACTTTGAACTTGTATTTCAATAAGAAATAAGATGAAATATTTTCATGTAACTTTTCTATCATTCCTAATTCATTTTTACAAGCATTTTATAATTTTCTCAATTTAAAAATGATAAATTGCCCCACCTCAATCCCCTCCCTTCCCCTCCAAATTCTTTTATCCAAACATACCCTAACACTTCTCCTCATAGATGTTGCCATGCCCAACTTGTTACAAATATAATCAACTCCTATTACATTTAATATTATTGCAGGATCAGGACAATAATGATTGTATGGCTTATTGGTTATCAAACACATCTGCTTTGTTCTTCCATCTTCAGAGATGTCTAAGAGTACCAGCACGGAAACCACCTACCCCAACAGGGTTTTTTGGGAGGATGACCCAGGTATTAAGTTTATTTATAACTGTCTAATTTAACATGTGTTGATCATAAGTTCCATGATAACTTCTGGGTCCTACCGCGCAACAATATTTTATGTTCATTTATGGTTGTTCATATGCTATACATTCATTCTCTTATAGAATTAGTGCAACACCCCTAAATTTCTAACAATTTTTGACAATAATAAAATATTCCTATAATAGAGATATTGTAAAAAAAAATAACATTTAAATTATTTAATAAGATTACATAAATATTGCGGAAGCTAATCTAAAACTAATTTGGGGAAATGTTAATGTCGCACCTGTACAGGACAAGTGCAAGGCTAACTCAATTACATTCATAAATATTAAAATAAAATCAGAGACTATGTTTTATACATAAAATTTAGGACTAGCTAGAAATTCTCTGAGTCATTATCCTTCGCTGCTCACTGCTAGCCCTCATCCTTTGCAACCCGCTTCACTAAAATTTTGTTCCCCCCGAAGGATCATTGCAGCCAAACAAACACAAACAGTCAGCAAAGCTAGTAATCCTAATCAAAACATAATTTATATAACTCAAATATAATAATCACATAATAATTGAATCAACTGTTAATTTCAATATTCATCATATATATTCATATCAAATCAGATATTATTCATTTTCTTTATTAAGTTTATTTAGTGGAAAGAGAACCATGGTAGATCTGGAGATCCTGCCTGTTTACCCTTTGATCGGATATCCTGTCAGTCACATATTAACAATTTGGCCATTATCAAAAACATCTCTTCCTAGTATGCACACTTCTTCCCAAAATTGCTACTAGTATCCCGAATATCCTGCCAGGTACCACTTTGAGAAGAACGGATAATCTCTTTTCATATCACATAATTATCGAAGGCATAAAGCCCAAAAAATTTGTTCATCACTTTGGGAGGTACCATTTCAAAGCTATCCTCTCACTATTAATTTATTTCAAACACACACAATCAAAAAAATTCAATCATAATTATTTATTCTTTAAGTATTATCATTTCTAAATGAGTTGCTCAAGGGCATCATAATTTTCCGGAGTATCATAATTCAAACATCTATCATCATAAATTTTCGAATTTATTTAAGGAATATAATGATTCATATATTTCATAGTAAAACCCAAATTATCATAACTTTCCAATTTATTCAAGGATATAACAATTCAAATCTTCAACATTTATCATACCAAATCCGATCATCATCATAACTTTCCAAATAATTCAAATATTCCACATTTATAATAATAAAACACAAATCCAATCATCGCCATTCACGAGCCCGTTTAATATGGGCCGGGAGCAAAAGCTCCCATTCTAAAAGTAGTAAAAAAGTTGGATTGAGATGGAATTTAGAAAAAAGAGAAGGGTATAAATGGGAGAAATTTTCCTTTTTTAGTAAAGGACCATGGAATAGTATTGTGGGCCTGGAGCATATTAGAAAAATCCGCCATTCACGTAATCAATTATCATAGTTATTCAATTTATAGATGAAGTAAGAATTTTAAGTAAGAAAAGAGAGAGTAGAGGAGAAATGTTGAGGATTGGAAGTGAATTGGTTTGGTTAGGCTAGGCCTCTATTTATAGATGAAGTTTTGGGCTCAGATATGGGTTTCGTGCAATTATTTCCTTATTCTTCATTGATGTACCTGGCTCAGATATTGGCTACATACATTATTTTCTTATTATTCTTAATTTCTTATGGCTCAGAATATCGCTAACTCATGACTGACTCATTATTGACTCAATGTTGACTCATCATGTCTAATCAAATTACTAATCAAATAATCACTTAATGCATAAATCACAATTTATCATTTAATATATATATATGTGTATATATATGTATATATATATAATAGGGGAAGGTTATGTTTAAAAAAAAAAATTTACAAACTTACAAACTATACTAAGTATGAATGGTCAGACTTCAATCAAAAGTGTATGACCGGTCAGACATAGTGTAGTTTGTAAATAAAAAGTTTGTAAATATAACATTCTCCATATATATATGTGTGTGTATATTTATATATATATATATATATATGGGTCAGGATCATTTTACACCAGTGTAAGTTACACTCTCAATCTTATCCATTGATCCCACTTATATCTAAGGGTTCTAATTTTTTAGTAATGTGAGCCATTGGATACAAGTAGATCAATGGTCAAGATTGAGTGTAAGACTTCTAACTCTTACACCGGTGTAAGAATATCCTGCCCCTATATATATATTATATTATTACTACTACTAAATTATAATTTATTATTAATAATAACTTATTGTATTATAAATTACTATTATTTTCCTGGGATATTACATTCTACCCCCTTAAAAGAAGTTTTGTCCACGAAACTTAAAGTTTGAGCCCTCCTTAAAAAAATGAAAGTAAGCAAGCAACCAAGAGTAATGCATAACCAAACAAATAAGATAACATAGCATTTATGAATTTAAGACAATAAAACTTTTATTATATATTTCTATATAATCTTTCATTTGCCAGAAAAATTTAACCAATTCAAGGACAATAAATTTAAGACAATAAATTACTATTATTTTCGTGGGATATTACAATTAGTATATGCAATGTTTCTGGAATGTATGATCAAATATCAATAATTGAAGGCTATCAGCAGGATGTGTTTGTCTCCATATAACATGCTATCTGTACACATTTTACATTGTAGAATGTTAGTGTCTTAACTTCGTTACAAATAAAGGACAAAGAAAATGAAAGGAAAAAAGATTATGCTTGTCCTTCAATAGCATGATGCATACATTCATGCATTTTATTTTAAATAGATGCTTACAAATAATGGCATTTTACTAATAATGGTATCCTTGATAGACACTTATTTCGTTTGTGCCTCATATTTGTAATTGATGATTGTAGTTACAAATAATAATGACATTAAACTCATAATTTGCAACACAACATTATATTTTTTCAGGGTTTCCGGTCTTCCAATAGTCTATCCAGTAATGCACTTGATTTAGAACATCAGGTTGATGCCAAGTATCCAGCTTTGCTTTTCAAGCAGCAGCTTGCAGCTTATGTGGAAAAGATTTACGGAATCATTCGAGAAAATTTGAAGAAAGACTTGTCACCTCTGCTTTCTTCTTGCATTCAGGTATGGTAGCTATATATTTCATCATCAAATATGTATTTACAAGAGTCTGATGCTTGTATGCATGAAAATGTATCCTATTAGGAAAGTAACATAGGTGGAGTGGTTGTAGTTTTTTGTAGCCCTACTTGTCTTGTTTATGCTCTAATCTGGTGTGAGTCCTACCAATAATTTTGTCTTGATACCTAGGAAATTCAACGTAACTTCCTATCGACATTTTACTTCACTTCCATATCTTTAAGAATGTTATTTTAAATATATTGATTCCTCTCTCCTCTCTGTTGCCAGATATTATTCTTCTGCTCTTCTGTTTCCTCCTGATGCCTTTATATATTATTGTCTTGTTCACTCTTGTAAAAGCATGCATTATTTGAACACTTTGTTTTAGATTTTTGGTTGTTACTTTACTTATCTGAAAATATGAAAGAAGTTCCTTTCTTTTGGGGGTCATGGGTGGCTTGAAGATGTCTCCTTCTTGGCTGTATGCAGAGCTCAATCAATATTTGATTGACTAAGTCAGTGTAATTTGCTTATTCCACTTGCATGTTATTATGACTTAGGCGCAGACAACATCAAATGACAACAGCAAACCAGATGCTTCTTGGCTCAGCATCATTGAGTGCCTTAATAGATTTCTCAAGATTCTGAAAGAAAATTATGTATGTGAAGGTTTGGTCTTACAGTGAATTGGTATTTTTACACCCCTTGCCTTTCCAGTCCTTTTCTCAGTTATAGAGCAAACTGATTTTTAGTTTTATTTCAGGTTCCTCCTCTTCTAGTTCAGAAGATATTTAATCAGGTTTTACACTACATCAATGTGGAAATCTTTAATAGGTAAGTTGTCTTGTTTAATTGACTAATTATAGGCATATGGGTTGACTTCTGAGTTGGGAATCCTGTGTTCTCCAGCATTCTTTTGCATCAAGAATGCTGCACATTCAGCAATGGAGAATATGTAAAATCAGGGTTGGCTGAGTTAGAACTATGGTGTAATGAAGCAACAGAGGAGGTACACTCTATTAATACTCTTAATTAGTGACAGAATAGATATTTTCCTAGGCATATTTAAGTCATACACATTGTGTGAACAATGATTTAGTTCTTATTTTGCTAATAACTACTTCTATTGCAGTATGTTGGCTCATCTTTGGATGAACTCAGACATGCGCGGCAAGCAGTTAGACTCTTGGTATGCCTATTACTTCTGTTGTAAACTCTTTTGCTTTATAGATAGAGAGATCAGGTAGTCTGCTGATCAGTGATATTTTAGTTAATCATATTTTTTTTTGCCTTTTTTCATCGTATTTCCTTTCTCTTTTGGTGTCTCACCATGGATACAATTGAACCAGTAGATTAAGATTTTGCTCTAGACCTATGATGTTTTTCTATCAGGTTGAGAGATTAGTAAGATACAATGTTAAAGGACATTGCCTCACTTGATATTTATATTAGAGTAAAGCCCATTCCCTAACAAAAAACAAGGTTCTCACTTTAGTCCTTTACAAAAAAAAATTAGTCGCCTAGCCCCTGTGAAATTCAAAGTGGACCCATTTTAGTCTTTTTAAGGGACTAATGTGGGTCTTTTTTGAATGTGTGAGAGACCACGATTTCAACTAAATGGGTCCACTTTGAATTTCTTAGGGACCTCAGAACTAATTTTTTTTTGTAAGGGACTAAAGTGGAGACCATGTTTTTTGTTAGGGACCAAAAGGGATTTTACTCCTTATATTATTACTGTATGCATGAGTAATATACCATATGTTACCAAAATATAAATATATATATATATATGGCAAAATGATTTGTCATCTGACTTGACCTAAGGATTGGTCAAGTTACACTATGTACTATGGATAGTATATAGTGTATTTCAGAGATTAACTATGTACTACAGGTAGTACATAGTTTTTCTCTCTCTTCAGAAATCTTGTATTATCCGTAATACATAGTTAATTTTTGAAATACACTATATACTGCTCCTTAGGTCAAGTTATGACATCTGCTTAACCCTATATATATACCATAAATTTAGAGTGAACCACAAGAAGTGTTCTCAATCCTCAAAACACTTGTTTCTCCCCTTGTTTTAATTTGGACGCAATCATTTCTCAGGTTGCACAAGAGAAGGATGGACTATCCTATGATGATCTTACGAATGACCTGTGCCCTGTAAGTGTTTTCCTCTAATATAAGTGAATGATAGATAAAGCCATGAATGCAAAAACATACTTGTAAGATAAATATAAACAGCTTAACTCGTTATAAAGCTAACAGGGATCTGCAACTTGAACTTTGTCCTAATCTTCTCTGTATAAACAAAACGTGAGCAGATTTCTTCTTTCTCCATTATTTTTGGTTTTTTTTTTAAGCTATATTGTAGAGTAGTTAATAAAATGAGTGTTTTCTGTGTTTTTTTTATTTTGAAAGTTAAAACACAGAATAAAAAGAATTGAAATATGTTCGCTAAATTTGATTCTAAAAACTAAAAATTAGATCTAATATTTAGAACTATTTTTACAAAACAGGCATTAACAAACAAGTTTTTTTATTTTTTTATTCCAAAAATTAAAATACTGTTTTTGGTAACAGAATTCAAATAGACCCTATACTTTGCTTTCTAACACTTTGTTTTGCTGAATAAGAGATGCACTTCAGCTGATTATTCTATATTTATAACACCAACAACCAAGCCATATCCCACTAGGTGGGATCAGCTGCATGGATAATGACATCATTGGACTCTTATCAAATATAATATACACAAGAAGTGGATTTAATGTTTCTCTAACTCTTAACGTCTACATGTGCTGAATTCAGGTCTTGAGTGCTAATCAGCTTTATAGAATATGTACACTTTACGAGGATGGCAATGACAATACTCTAAGTGTATCATCAGATGTAAGTTAAAGAAAATGATAAATAAAATATGCTCATTTATGTCGGCATTTACTCTTTTATATGAATATCAGTTATTGTAATTACTGCCATGTACTTGTGCAGGTCACTACTAGGTTGAAGCTTTTGATGACAGATGATGCAGATGATGATAACAAATCCTTCTTGTTGGAAGACAATTCAAGGTAAACTTCACTCATGATGAACACACACATAAAGATACAAGGATTTTTTTTTTAATTGAAAAATGAAGTGTTTACCTTTCACTATTTTTGAACTGCAGTACTCCTACAATAGTTGAAGAGATTTCTAGTTCCCTTCAAGATAAGACCATTCCAAAAGTAAAACCTCCTGCAGAACTTCTTGAGAATGCATCCTTCCAATTTTTACATGATTATTCTTAGTCCTCCTGTGATGCAGCTTAGCTTTCCAGGTTAAAAATATCTTCTCTGATTAAACACCATGCTGTAAATCCACCCCACTCCCCCACTTTTTCTTGTTTTTATAGTAGCATCCATGTTGTACTGGTCCTGATAGCAAAAAAGGCAGGGTAGGTTTCATAATTCTAACATTTTCTTTTGATCTCTATTTTCATTAGATTATATGGATGTTCACTTGTATTAGTACCAGGAAAGAAAAGAAACATTTGTAAAATTATAGGAGTTGATCCCATAGATTTTTATTCTGCCCTTAAATTTGACATTGTAGAAAGCAGCATATTAGCATCAAATGCTGTGGTTAAATTGGCCATTTATGTAATAGCATCATCCTTTGTAACATTGAAACAATATTTGGATTCTGTGGCAAAATTGGTAACTTTTTAGTTTCAATTACAATGATATGTCAATAGAACTGATGAGCAGAATATTTGGCATTATTTGTGCAGATTTGTAATTATATCCTTAATTAATTAGCCAGCTGTAGGTTATGATTTGTAATTATATCCTTAATTAATTAGCCAGTTGTAGGTTATGATTGTGTAATTATATCCTTAATTAATTAGCTAGCTGTAGGTTATGATTGTATAGTTATGATTGTGTAATTATATCATACTATTTAAATGAGAATTCTCCAAAGGAGAACATAAGGTTTTATCCCAATTTCTCTAAGTTTAACATGGTATCAGTCTAGGTTTCGTTACTAAATTTTTCGCTGTGCTCACAGTCTCTGAGTTCCCAAGTTCTAGTCGTTTGCGCGTACTGTTCACGTCGCGATTCTTGTTTTTATTTTTCCTCTCGCCATTTTTCTCAGCATCATGTCTACTGAAAAATATGATGTTCTTTTTGTTCATCTTAATGGAAAGAACTACTCCACCTGGGCATTTCAGTTCCAGATCTTTGTCAAAGGCAAGGAGCTTTGGGGTCATGTTGACGGAACTAATTCTGCTCCTGACAAAACTACGCACCAAGCAGCACATGCCCAATGGGAGGCCAAAGATGCACAGGTAATGACTTGGATCATAGGCTCTGTTGAGCCTAGTATTGTCCTCAATCTCAGACCCTTCACAACGGCAGCAAAGATGTGGGACTATTTGAAGAAAATTTATAACCAAACAAACACTGCTCGCAGGTTCCAGCTTGAACATGAAATTTCTCTTTTTCAACAGGATAGTCTCTCAATTTCTGAATTCTATTCTCATTTCATGAATCTTTGGGCTGAATATACTGACATTGTTTATAAAGATTTGTCGACTGAAGGACAAACTGCAGTCCAAAATGTTCATGACACCACAAAACGAGATCAATTTCTTATGAAATTGAGATCTACTTTTGAGGGAATTCGCACCAACCTAATGAACAGGGCTCTTGTTCCCTCCTTGGATGAATGTCTAAATGAATTGCTTCGTGAAGAACAACGTCTCCTTACTCAGACAAACATGGCACACCAGAAATCTGCCTCCCTTCCTGTAGCGTATGCAGTACAAGCCAAACCACGAGGTCGAGACATGAGTACTGTCCAATGTTTCTGCTGCAAAGGCCATGGACATTTTGCTTCAAACTGTCCTAAAAAGTTCTGTAATTACTGCAAAAAAGAAGGTCACATCATCAAAGAATGTCAAATCAGACCACCACGGAGAAATGCAACAGCCTTCACTGCCACTGTTGGCTCTTCTACTACTCCTGTTTCTGTGGATCAGAATCCACCTGTTTCTGTGCCAACTTTAACCCCTGAAATGGTTCAACAAATGATTGTTTCTGCATTTTCTGCTTTGGGTCTTTCAGGTAAAGTTTCTTTATCCAGCTCTCCTTGGTACTTTGACTCTGGCGCATCCAATCATATGACCAACAATGTTGCTTCTCTTACCAATGTTACAAATTACTCTGGTAATTTACAAATACACACTGCGGATGGAAACAATTTACCTATCACAGCAATTGGTGATATTTCTTCATCTCTTACCAATGTTTATGTTTCCCCTGATCTCACCAGTAACCTCATTTCAGTTGGTCAATTAGTTGACAGTGATTGCAAAGTTGAATTCTCAAAGTCTGGTTGTCATGTGCAGGATCAACACTCAGGGAAGGTGATCACGAAGGGGCCTAAAGTTGGACGACTTTTTCCTCTTTATTCATTGTTGTCACCATGTTCTTTTCAGCCTTTTATTTCTTGTAATTCTGCAACTGTTAATTTTCAATTATGGCATAAGCGTCTTGGTCACCCAAATTCGAATGTACTTCATGCTTTAATGAAATCTGGAGTTCTTGGCAATAAACATTTCCCATCTTTTAGTGTTGTTCAATTTGATTGCAATTCTTGTAAACTTGGTAAAAGTAAAATTCTACCATTTCCAGTTCATCAATCAAATGTAAATCAGCCTTTTGACATAATTCACAGTGATTTATGGGGCATCACACCTGTAATATCTCATGCACATTACAAATATTTTATCACTTTTATTGATGACTATAGTCGTTTCACATAGGTCTATTTTTTGCGATCTAAAGCTGAAGCTTTCTCTGCATTCCAATTTTTTCATTCCTATGTTCAAACTCAGTTTGCATCAAAAATTAAAACTCTGCGTTCTGACAATGGGGGGAATACACATCTTATTTGTTTCAAGAGTTCTTGCAGAAAAATGGTATATTATCTCAAAGGTCGTGTCCTTCCACACCCCAACAAAATGGGATAGCTGAAAGAAAAAACCGTCATCTTCTTGATGTTGTCCGTACCTTAATGTTGGACTCTTTAGTACCCTCCCGTTTTTGGTGTGAAGCTCTCTCAACTGCTGTCCACCTTATTAATCGGCTGCCTTCTCCAGTCTTGCACAATGATTCCCCTTTCTTAAGGTTATTTGGTAAGCAACCCAATTATTCAACTCTTCGCACCTTTGGTTGTGTCTGTTATGTTCATCTTCAGCCACCAGAACGCACCAAACTCACAGCTCAATCTGTTAAATGTGCTTTTCTTGGTTACTCAGCCCATCAAAAAGGTTTTTTATGCTATGATCCTCACTTACATAGGATTCGGGTTTCTAGAAATGTCATCTTTCAAGAAGATACATATTTTTTTGCTACTAACCAAGACACTCAATCTTCTACATCCAAATCTGTCTTGCCATTGTTTCCTAACAGTTTTGCAGAAGACCAAGCTCGTCCTCCTGTCATTGTCTACCAAAGACGTCCGACTGTTCCACCAATTCAGACTTCAATCCCTTCAAGGCCCCCTTCTGATCATTCTCTGGCTGCTGATCCAGTGCATGCACTAGAATTGCCCCTTTACGTCGCAGTACTCGCATTCGTAAACCACTGGAAAAGTATGGTGTTTCTGAATCTTTATCTTTGACAGCAACTTTAGCATCTATTCCTATTCCTTCTTCATATAAACAGGCAATGGAGCATAAATGTTGGCAGGATGCTATAGAGACTGAACTTCTTGCACTAGAGGAAAATCAAACATGGGACATTGTTCCATGTCCTTCATCGGTTAAATCTCTTGGCAGTAAATTTGTATTCACTATAAAGTTGCGTTCAGATGGATCCATCGATCGATACAAGGCTAGATTGGTTGTTCTTGGAAATAAGCAAGAATATGGCCTAGACTATGAAGAGACCTTTGCGCCGGTGGCCAAGATGACTACTGTGCGGACTATTATTGCCATTGCTGCATCTGAATCTTGGCCAATTCACCAGCTAGATGTCAAAAATGCCTTCCTTCATGGTGACCTCAAAGAAGAAGTTTACATCAAACTTCCTACGGGTATGCCCTCACTATTACCTAATACTGTTTGTAAGCTAAAACGTTCTTTGTATGGATTAAAACAGGCACCAAGAGTGTGGTTTGAAAAGTTTAGCACAACATTACTTGGTTTTTCCTTCATCCAAAGTAGCTATGATCCATCTCTTTTTCTACAAAGGACCTCCAAAGGAATTGTGATTCTCCTTGTTTATGTGGATGACATTATTGTCACCGGCTCAGATCAAGAGGCTATCACTACAATCAAACAATTGATGCATACAACTTTCCACATGAAAGATCTTGGACAGCTCACTTATTTCTTGGGATTAGAAGTACAATTCCAACAAAAAGGCATCTTTGTCACTCAGCACAAATATACTCAGGATCTAATTCAGCTAGCTGGTCTCACCACTGCAACTATGGTTGACACTCCCATGGAAGTTAATGTAAAGTTAAGACGGGATGAAGGTGACCTTCTACAAGACCCAACTTTATATCGAAAGTTGGTAGGAAGTCTCATCTACCTCACCATCACAAGACCTGATATCTCTTTTGCTGTCCACACAGTCAGCAAATTCATGCAAAATCCTAGACACTTGCATCTTACAGCAGTACAACGAATCATTAAATATTTGTTGGCCACTCCCAGCCGTGGTATCTTCTTTCCGACAAATGCAACAATACAACTTCAAGCATACAGCGATGCTGATTGGGCTGGATGTCCCGACACAAAGAAGTCTACTACTGGCTGGTGTATGTTTTTAGGAGATGCCTCTATCTCCTGGAAATGCAAGAAACAAGAATCTGTCTCTAAATCCTCCACTGAAGCAGAATATCGGTCCATGTCTGCAGCATGCTCTGAGATTATTTGGTTACGGGGCCTTCTTTCAGAACTTGGTTATTCACAAGCAACACCAACTCCGTTGTATGCTGATAATACAAGTGCCATACAGATTGCAGCAAATCCTGTATACCATGAAAAAACAAAGCACATAGAGGTCGATTGTCATTCAATCAGGGAAGCTTATGACCGTAAAATTATCACTCTACCTCATGTCTCAACATCTCTTCAACTAGCTGACATCCTCACCAAGTCTTTGACACGTCAACGACATAATTTCCTCGTCAGCAAATTGATGCTTGTAGATTCACCAGCATCAATTTGAGGGGAGATGTCAATAGAATTGATGAGCAGAATATTTTGCATTATTTGTGCAGATTTGTAATT